AATGCTTTCTGTCTTCTGAAATAAGAAAGATTTGAGTAGCTTCATGTCAAGAACAGATGTATAATCACCCCCACCCAAAAAAAAAACCAACCAAACAAAAAACCTACCACAAAAATAAACAAAAACAAAAAAACCCCACAAAACCAAATTATTTTCTGATGAGGTCTGGCACTTATTTTTGGTGAGTGCAATTCAAATCCCCTCTGTGTATTGCATCAGGTCCATAACTGTAATCTGCATCATACAGAAGCAAGTCAAACGTCTTATGGGACTTGCATATATTTATGACAGTGTCAGCTGAAAATGCAACACCATGCAGCTGCTCAACACATTCCTCCGTGTTCAATGTCAATGAAGACCACGTTATTTACCTTTATTAAAAAACAGTACAATACTTTTTTTCCTGTCCTGCTAAACTTCCATAGCACATTGAGCATCATTCAATATCTAAATCATTAGGTTAATTATCTGGTCAGTTCTCTGAAAACTTACTGGGATAGCTATCAAATCTTACACATTAAGAAGCTTTTGACAATCAACATTCTGCATCTTTCCCAGTTACTATCATATTTAAAAGCATTTAGCAATTATTAAAAGTCCCAATGTTATTCCTAAGCATGGAACAGCAATATTTGACGACACCAACACTTACCTACATAGACATCTATAATACTGATTTATTATTCTTTCCATATATATCTAAAACTTTCCTCTTTGCCTTTAAAATGATAACCAGAGATTTTCTATTACAAGATTCACCTTTTATTAGCAATGCATTTCACGACTGTCAATTTACCACTACCAGTTTCTCATTTCCCCTACCACTTCTTAGTCCCTGTTATCCATAAATATTTCAATTTCACTGGACACAGTTTTACCAGGGACAACAGAAGTGCTGCAGCACCACCATTAGTCCCATTTTATGCAGCACCTGCTTGCAGACATGCCACACAAAAACTGTGCATCTCCCTTAAAAGGATCAAATCTGCCTAGTCTAGTCAAATCTTCCACTTGAGCTGATGTGTTTAAACTTACTGGTTTGGAATCACTTAAAAATTAATTACCTCTAGAACGGTTTCTTTATTTTCCCTTTCAGTTCAGAACTGCTTATCAACCCTAAGTATTGTAAAAAATAATGGATCATAATATCCAATCACTTCTGTAGCACAAGAAGAAATTTTAGGTTAATTGAACTGCAAATTCCAACCCCTGAAGAAGCACCTGCTGCATTTTGGACAGATACAGCCCACTGCACTAGCATGCAGGGAGATAAAGCAGTTTTGGCCAAGAAAACAGGTATCTCCTATATATGCATACACACAGAATTTGAAAACACACAGTAGATGATTAATAACTAAGCTTTTAAAGTTCACCAAATACGAAACAGAATGCAGATTAAGTGTCACTGCCACACTGCCCCCAAATACTTCCACAAACTTGAATCAAGTTTTAATGCCTCAGAAATCTGTCGCGGCAAATGCGTTCTGTACTTTCTACCTGAACTCAGCCCTCAAAACCACACTTTCTTCACTCAAACGCGGTTTATTACTTTGTAACACAGCCAGCCGAACCCGGTGCCCGGGCCGGGTTCTATAAGAAAGATTTGAGTAGCTTCATGTCAAGAACAGATGTATAATCACCCCCACCCAAAAAAAAAACCAACCAAACAAAAAACCTACCACAAAAATAAACAAAAACAAAAAAACCCCACAAAACCAAATTATTTTCTGATGAGGTCTGGCACTTATTTTTGGTGAGTGCAATTCAAATCCCCTCTGTGTATTGCATCAGGTCCATAACTGTAATCTGCATCATACAGAAGCAAGTCAAACGTCTTATGGGACTTGCATATATTTATGACAGTGTCAGCTGAAAATGCAACACCATGCAGCTGCTCAACACATTCCTCCGTGTTCAATGTCAATGAAGACCACGTTATTTACCTTTATTAAAAAACAGTACAATACTTTTTTTCCTGTCCTGCTAAACTTCCATAGCACATTGAGCATCATTCAATATCTAAATCATTAGGTTAATTATCTGGTCAGTTCTCTGAAAACTTACTGGGATAGCTATCAAATCTTACACATTAAGAAGCTTTTGACAATCAACATTCTGCATCTTTCCCAGTTACTATCATATTTAAAAGCATTTAGCAATTATTAAAAGTCCCAATGTTATTCCTAAGCATGGAACAGCAATATTTGACGACACCAACACTTACCTACATAGACATCTATAATACTGATTTATTATTCTTTCCATATATATCTAAAACTTTCCTCTTTGCCTTTAAAATGATAACCAGAGATTTTCTATTACAAGATTCACCTTTTATTAGCAATGCATTTCACGACTGTCAATTTACCACTACCAGTTTCTCATTTCCCCTACCACTTCTTAGTCCCTGTTATCCATAAATATTTCAATTTCACTGGACACAGTTTTACCAGGGACAACAGAAGTGCTGCAGCACCACCATTAGTCCCATTTTATGCAGCACCTGCTTGCAGACATGCCACACAAAAACTGTGCATCTCCCTTAAAAGGATCAAATCTGCCTAGTCTAGTCAAATCTTCCACTTGAGCTGATGTGTTTAAACTTACTGG